CGGGGACGAGAAAGCCATCCAGGAGGCCCTGCTCAGCAACCTGGAGATCGCGAACAAAAGGGGTTCCCTGACGGCCGGCGAGTACCTGAACATGACGAAGGACTGCAGCAATTTCAAGAAGACCCGGCGGTTCATTGAGTTCCCGCTGAGCCAGGAGGAGGCAGAGTTCCCTATCGCCTACTCCATGGTCATCCACAACAAAATCGAGATGTTCGAGCGGCTCCTGCGGTCCCTGTACGCCCCTACGAACGTCTACTGCGGCCCCATTGACAGCACGTCATTGACAGCAAGTCCCCGGCCGCCTTCCAGGAGGCCGTGCGGGCCATTGTAGCTTGCTTCCCCAATGTCTTTGTGGCTAGCCGCCTGGAAAAGGTGGTCTATGCCTCCTGGTCCCGGCTGCAGGCCGACCTCAACTGCATGCAGGACCTGTTGCAGAGCCCTGTGCCATGGCGCTACGTCCTCAACACCTGCGGCACCGATTTCCCCATCAAAACCAACGCCGAGATCGTCCGTGTCCTGAAGGTGCTGCAGGGGCGGAACAGCATGGAGTCAGAGAAGCCCTCGGCCTTCAAGCGGGAGCGCTGGCAGTACCACCATAAAGTGGGGGAGTTCATCTTCCGGACAGCCACAGAGAAACTGCCACCACCCCACAACTCTCCCATGTTCACAGGCAACGCGTACATCCTGGTCACGCGGGCCTTCGTGCAGCACATCTTTGAGAACCCCACGGCGCAGCAGTTCCTCGAGTGGGCCAAGGACACCTACAGCCCTGACGAGCACGTCTGGGCCACCCTCAACCGCATGCCCGGCGTGCCAGGCGCCATGCCGCAGAACGACAAGTTCCAGCTCTCGGACATGAACGCCTTGCCCCGCCTGGTGAAGTGGCAGTACCTGGAGGGCGACACCAGCAAGGGCGCGCCCTACCCACCCTGCACCGGCCAGCACCAGCGCGCCGTCTGCATCTACGGGGTGGGCGACGTGCCCTGGATGCTGCAGCAGCACCACCTCTTGGCCAACAAGTTCGACCCCCTGG